ACACACACACACACACACACACACACACACACACACACACACACACAGTGTTTAAATAATTAACAAATGGAGGATTAAGGAGCGCGATTCCCTGGCTTTGGCTGGGTGGAAGCCAGCCACGGAACAAAGGGCAGGCTGCTGGATGGCCGCTGGAGGGCCCCGCCAGGCAGGTCCGTGCCAGCCCGCGAGCCGCCAGGGCGGGGCGAGGTCAAACCCCGTCTGGGAGGCTCGGGCCTGCGCCCTGGCTCAGGGGATCTGGGTGAGGGGCGAGGCCCCGGCAGAGAGCCCCTGCCTGCCCATGGCCTGGCGGCTGGCATTCCCTTGCCGGGTGGTGTGCACTGCGTCAGCGGCGAGGGCCAGAAGCTCCAGTGATGGGTTGGTAAGCCGGTAGTCCTCAGCCTTTCCTCCTTCCCGACGCCGACAGTTCCGGCCCACTTGGGCCAGTGTTTGTCCCGTGTTTTCTGCTGTACTTTGCAGCCAGCCCTTCATCTTTACCTTCACAGTAGGCGGCTGGTCCTGCCCCTTTCCATCTTCCCCACCTAGACGCGATGGTAAAGCGCACCCTCCTGGAGGCCACCCGTGCTGGAAGGCTCTGCCCTGGGCTGGGGTGGGGGGTGTGTGTGTGTGCCCTAATTACCCTCATTCCTCATCCCCCGCTCGCTCACACTGCCGCCAACCAGCCATGCCGTTCCAGCCCCTTCGAAGAACCCATGTTCGGCTTCCTCCGGGGCCTTTGCACCTGCCGACGTGCCCCCCTCTGCCTTTGCCAGCCTGCCTCCTTCCCCTGCTCACATTCTTCATCTTCATGAGCCGTTCTAGTCTGGCTGCTTGGCTCCCAGCATCTTCATCATCCCAGCCGCCGTTTAGCCGACTGGCCTACAGGGCAGGGCGGGAAATAGTCCCCCTGGTTATAGTAGATCAGGGAAATTGTACCTGCCTTCTCCATGATGCGCGCAGCGCCCTTCTCCAGCCTAGGCTTTCTGGTGCGCTCTTCTCTCCAAACCCTGCTCCTGTAGCTAAACTTTCTTTAAAACCTGCTCTTTAAGACCTTAGAGTTTCAGTCTTCTCTGCACTTCCTCCAAAGCCTGTACATGCTATGGTAGTACTCTAGCAAAGTGGTAATCACCGAGTTACCTGTCGGCTCTGTTTTCTAGACCCTGCGATCCTTGAAGGAAGAGCTCACCTCTTATTTATCTCATTATTTTAATAAGGTATGTTACTAGTACTTACATATCTCTGCAGGTCCAAGACCAAACACAGTACCTGACCTGGGATTCCTTTTTTTTTTCCTTTTTTCCTTCTGAATGAGTCTACAATTAATCAATCACTAACTCCCAGACCATGTTTCTAAACCTCCAGAATAGTTTTCTTTCTTTCTTCCTTTTTTTTTAAAGAATAATTCTTTCACGGGGTGCCTGGGTGGCTCAGTCGTTAAACGCCTGCCTTCGGCTCAGGTCATGATCCCAGGGTCCTGGGATCGAGCCCCGCATCTGGCTCCCTGCTCGGCGGGAAGCCTGCTTCTCCTTCTCCCACTCCCCTCCCTGCTTGTGTTCCCTCTCTTGCTGTCTCTCTCTCTCTGTCAAATAAATAAATAAAATCTTTAAAAAAAAAAAGAATAATTCTTTCACCTCTTATATCTTAAACCTCCCTCAAGTCACCCATCGTATTCCTAGCCATCTGCTGGTGAGAAAAGCAAATTTCTTAAGGATTCACATTGAAAGTGCTGAATCCACAGGGGTTTTCCAACTATTTTGTTTGTTCGTTTCAAGGGCATGACTCCTTATGTATAAGACTGATCTAGTTTAGTTCTTCAACATGGCAAGAGGAACAAATTTAGGGAGAGGAGATGGTGGATGAAGGCCAGAAGCCCATTTCCGGGTCAGGCCCCCAATCCCACGTAGCCTGAGAACAATCCCCAGTGCTCCCCACCCCCTGCACTTGCAGGCAATGGCTGTCATTGTCTTCAGACAGACAAGGGCAGAAGTGGGTGAGGGTGGAGTTTCTGTGACAGAGGGAAGGCACTGATGGGTTTGAAAACGGGGGGGGGGTGTTGTTTCCTTAAGACTAATTTTAATAGTCACCTAAGGATAATGTTGTAAATAAAGTAAGAACATAGAATAATGCATTTCAGAACGGAATATTTATATTAGCTTAGGTGATTGAGAAAAATGGCCTGAACCATAGATAGAACGATAGACCAGGAGGAGAGACAAGACTCATCTGGAGGACGAAAGTGAGGACACAGGAAGTGGAAATAGAAACAGGAAGGAAGTAGGAAGGGTCAGCTTCTTTAACCTGAAGCAATTTACTCAGAACACATCCAGCCTGTGGTTCACGTAACTCTGCGTGCTAAAATAGACTTAAATTTTTATTTACAGGCTACCTATAACTTGCCCTTTGAAACCCCACCGTCTCACGGGTCTGGAGTATGGAATCATGGAAAACTCTCATTCTAGAACCATGCTAGCCTGCTTCATGCAACAAGCCTGATTCATAAAATGCCCGAACATCGTCCACTTCCTCAGTATATTCCATTTCCCGTGATGGTTCTCATCTGGATAAGATCTGCTTTGAGCTATCATGTTGTTGACTTGAATACATTTGTACCTTCAAATTCAGGGCTTGATGAGAAGTCTCCATTTGCTATGAAACGCAGTGAGCATCGAAATGACCAACACCAAAGCCAAACAAAATCAGATACCTGACTAATTGCCGAGTTCCCTAACTGGACCCTCCAAAACCCTCCAAAACAGTTCGACGCTCCAGATGTGTTTTGTTTGTTGGCTTGGCTATACAGTGTTTTGTTTTGATTTTTGCATAGTTTTCAAAATTTAAAAATTTGCAGATTTTGCCTAAAAATCAGCATTTCTGACTTGTGTTGGAAGATTGGAAGATTTGGGGACCCTGGCCCCCCTCATCCTGAATGGTAACACTTGGCAGACCCCGTTAGAGAGGGCAGCTTACCTCTAGTTTATAGGCTTCACTGGTCCTGCTGTCTAATACATTCTGCTCATTCATTTATGTAACTGGCCTGTAGGTTATCACAAGAATATTTCATTTAGCCAGTAATTCTCTAGCTAGGCAAAAATGTCCTTATGTAAATGCTTCCTTTAAGTGTGGACTATAACAGAGGACATGAGCTAAGGAAAAATAAAGGTGAAAGCAGGCTCTGCTACAATTAAAATGAAATCTGAAACAGGAAGTCCTTCTCAAAGCTACATGCCTATTAATTTTACGTAGGCAATGCTATATGCAGATTATCTCTCCTATGTTTTATAACTGTGTTAATGTCCTTGAACATGAATTTTTATTGATTTATAATATTCCTGCTTGCAATTCTGGAGGGTTGGAGTTAGGAGAAGGAATTTCCAAATTTGGAATAAAAAATTGGGGCATATTCCATGTTTTTGAAAAATCTGTATGTATAGCCATGAGCTATATTTTGATTGTCATATTGAAATGTGCCTTGGGTTTGTGAACTGGGATAAAACTAGAGTTATACTAAAGTCAAAATTCTCTATGTAATACTTTGTCCTTCCCAAGGTGCTTTATAAGGAGTAGGTATAATAAAGACATTTCAAAAGTCTTAGTTATTCATGGCTTTGCTCTCAAGCCAAGAATCTAAGAGACCCTCAAATTTCATACCAGCCATTTCGAACATGAACCTTAAATCCCCCTTTTACCTTAGAGAACAGTAGGTTTGCTATCTACTCTCCCTTCCAAGGCAGGGCTGAGTTATCTTAAAATACTACCTGAGGATTGTGGCATTTACAAGGGGAGATGTTTAAAGAGGACAAGGCAGAAAAAGAAACATGTCAGTGTTAGGGGTAGTTTTCAACAAGATAGTGCAAAGAACACTCACAAAGTTTCTTTTTTTCATTCATTATTTAGGAGGACTTCTGCCAAATCTTTTTCACTGCTTCCCATTGGTTCCACAGACAGGCAAAATAGGCTTTATTAGAACTTGGTGAACCATCAAGAATTAGTTCGTGAAAAGACAGCGGGAAGGTGTGCACACAGTGCGTCTGAACATAAAAAAAATGAAGACCCAGACGCCTGGGTGGCTCAGTTGGTTAAACGTCTGCCTTCGGCTCAGGTCATGATCCCGTGGTCCTGGGATCCAGCCTCGCGTCCAGCTCTCCACTTCACGGAGAGTCTGCTTCTCCTTCTCCCTCTGCCCCCCCCCCAGTCTTGCTCTCGCTCTCAAATAAATAAATAAAAACCTTTAATAAATGAGGGAAACTGAGGCATGCAGAGGTTAAGTAACTTGCCCAAGGACATCTTAAGTGGAGGGGCCAGGATCCCAAACCAGACACTGGCTCCAGAGTCTGGAGCCCTGGATGGGTGTCAGGCATGGCAAAGCATGGCTGAAGGCATGTGGGCGGACAGGCCAGCTATTGGCATAAGTCTGACCCTCGGCCATGGGAGTGAGTGGCGCCAGATGGTTGACACAGGTCCTGCGCGTAGAATTTAGGACAGACTTGGGTACGAACAACACAATCATAGATTTCTTAGGTGTTCAGTTTTTCTTTTAGGTGAATTGTCTGCTTGCATCCTTTGTCCCTTTTTCTGTCTGGGGTTTCTTGCTTGTCTTACTGATCTATTGTCTGCCACGAGGGAGGTGGTTTTGTCTGTATTGTCTACTGCTGAACATCCAGCACACAGACAACACCTACGCATAATAAGTCACAATAAATATTTGCTGAATGACTGAATGAAGGAATATTAACTACTTGTCTGTTATTTCCTAGTTTATTATATTATGTCTTAATTCATATGTGCCTAAGTTTTACATTTTTATGTAGTCATATGTACTGATTTTTTCTTCTTCATAGTTTTTCCATTAAAAAAGTTTATAAAGGTGCGGAGAGAGCCCCTCGTCCCGGGACACGGGGCGCGGCTGGAAAGGGGGCCGCCCCCTCGCCCGTCACACAACGCACGTTCGTGGGGAACCTGGTGCTAAACCATTCGTAGACGACCTGCTTCTGGGTCGGGGTTTCGTACTAGCAGAGCAGCTCCCTCGCTGTGATCTATTGAAAGTCAGCCCTCGACACAAGGGTTTGTAAAACAAATAAACAAAAGAAAATAAAAATAAATAAAAAAAATGTTTATAAAGTCCCGGGGTTACTGGGTGGCTCAGTCAGTTAAGGTCTGCCTTCAGCTCAGGTCATGACCTCAGGGTCTCGAGATCGAGTCCTGCATCTGGCTCCCTGCTGGGGGGGGGGGTAGGCTGCTTCTCCCTCTGCCTTTGACGCACCCCCCCGCCCCCCCCCCGCTCATGCTCTCTGTCTCTGTCTCTCTCTGTCTCAAATGAATAAATAAAATCTTAAAAAAAAATGTTTATAAAGTCCTTTCTTGGCCATATGTCATGTAAATATTTGGTTATGTTTTTCTGGTTTTCTTATTGTGATTTTCTTTTTACATTTACTGCTTTAATTCACCCGCATCTTGTTTTCTCCTATGGTGGAAACAGTGGCCATACATAATTTCTTTCCAAATGGGTCTTCAGTGTTTTTTTAACACAATGTATTGGATAATCCACCCTTCCTTCTACTGGTTTGTCTGTCCATTCCTGTGCAAGCATCACACCTTTAAATGATTGTTTGTGTACCTATGTGAGTGTGGGTATGTTCAATATATAAATATACACTTAAATATCTTTTAATACATGTCTGCCCTCATTAGTCCTTTTTAAATTGTATCAGTTGATAGTATATGTTCTAACTATAGAATTCAACCTAAAAATTAATTTAGGGTTAACTGACATTTTATAATATTCTTTTTCTTAAAAGATTTTATTTATTTGAGAGAGAGAGCATGAGCGGGGGGTGGGGGGTGGGCAGGGGCAGAGGAAGAGGGAAGTTCCCCAATGAAGAGGGAGCCTGATGTGGGGCTCTATCCCAGGACCCTGGGATCATGACCTGAGCTGAAGGTAGATGCTTAACTGACTGAGCCACCCAGGCACCCTCAATACCTATTTTATTTTTTTTATTTTTATTTTTTTAAGATTTTATTCATTAATTTGACATAGACAGACATAGAGAGGGAACACAAGCAGGGGAAGAGGGAGAAGCAGACTCCCCGCTGAGCAGGGAGCCTGATGCGGGGCTTGATCCAGGACCCCGGGATCATGACCTGAGCCGAAGGCAGATACTTAACCAACTGAGCCACCCAGACGCCCTCAACAGCTATTGAAAGAGAAAAGAAAGTACAAACTTGCTTACTCTTCAATACAGGATTACAAAAGGGAAAACCAAATCCATCAGAAATGGAAAAGATCGATGCAACTAATCCCACTCTGACGTGGCCAGATCCACGACCATTGCTGTTATTCCTCATGATAAAAGCAAAATGGTGTTTGATAGTCCGGTTGACACAGGCAAACACTTATTGATGGTTCACTCTCAAATGGGGAGCATGTAAACTAAAGCATCTCGGTGATCTATTTTGGCCAAGACTTTTACTCTGATTAATTTACTAATGCGAGGAGGAAAACAATATGGCGCCACTAAACTAGAAGAGACGGAGAGGAAGGACGAAGGCAGGAAGGGAGGGACGGAGGAAAGAAGAGAGAAGGAAAAAAGATGAAACTGTGTTATGGCAATCTTAGTGAGGAAGTGAAGTAAATGGGAAGAGATTTAATTTAGATAAAGGTAAGGTACCTGGGGAGAAATAAGAATCAGCAAACAGAGAAAAGAGAAGGCTCCTGTTGAGGAAACAGCACTGTAGCAAACAGCCAGGTTATAATACTAATTACTAGCTGAAGATATGAGTCCCTAATATCACTACCACTAACCACGACTGCTGCTGTGTTGGTCTGTGTGTCTAGAAGGATCCCTTAGGAAACAGAAGTGGCAGTAAAGTTGCTTCATCCAGCGTTTGGCAGTAATTTTCCCTATGAAATGCTACTGCAGACTTGCCAAAAGGAATGTTCTAAAAAGGCCATAAAAACACTGTTGACTGTTAAAAGCAGAACAGCTAGAATCCTGCATATACACTGAGATGGGAGTTTCAATGGCTCAGTCAGATCCCATTTTTATTTAAGAGCCATCAAATCCAATTGGGACCACATTTCTCTAGATAAGGATTTAAAGCAGGCTTTGGGTTTCATATTGTTTACTCTGCTCTATTTGTCTCCCTGTGGGAAGAGGCGGGTCCTGCAAATGTGCTTGGTGGTATTTTCATTGGATTTCGGGCATTATTTAGATCCCCAAGAAGGGGAGGTCCTCTGAACTCAGAAAACTGGTGTTCAGTCAACAAAATAGAAGTTCTTAGCCTGAATGAAAAATAAATAAACTCAGAGTTAAATACGCAGGGAAACCACAACCTGTCGGGGTATTCTCTTGGTCTATTGGACTTCTCGTATAGTTCAACACTATTTAGAGAGAAAAATAAAGCTGGAATGGTGGGGATGTGGGACTCTGAGCAAATTAAGATGCCACCTTAGAGACAGTACCTCATTTCTGCCAATTTACCAGCCATGATGCCTCAGTTTCCCATCAGTAAAGAGAGCCGTTCTGTGTGGTACCCTGGCCAAAGGATAACTCATCAAAATGTTGAAATGCAAAAACCTGTGTGAGGTTCCTTTATGTAAATGAGTAAGGCAATATCATCTAGGAGGTGTATCAAAGTTTGCTGAGGTCGATATGAAGGCTGATCCAACAATGTTTCTCCTGGGCGCCTCACATTGATATGGCCCAGGATTTACACTTCAATTGTTCTCAAACTTCTCTGTTCATTAGCATCTTCTGAGAGCTTATTTTAAAACACTGATTTGTGGGGATGCCTGGCTGACTCAGTCAGTGGAGTATGCAACTCTTGATCCTCAGGTTGTGAGTTTGAGCCCCATGTTGGGTGGAGAGAATAAAACAAAACAAAATGCTGATTTGAAGGCCCAGCTCCACAGTTCTGATGAAGTAGGTCCGGGGTGGAACCCAAGAACCTAAATTCTTAGCAAGCATCCCAGGACATTCATTTAGATTGCGGTGGGCCATGGACTACACTTTGAGAAATTCCAAACCAAGCTCACCCGTATGGCTCACCTGGCTGGTTAATGTCTATCCATGGCCCAGTTAGTACTGTATTCTAACAACCCCAGGAAACCCGGCTGTGGTCCAGCAATTGGGAGTGGATTCGTTTTTTAGCCCAACATCCATTCATCCTGATTTCCTTTTGGAGAACAGTCCTTCCCCTGCTCACTTCGTGCCCTTCAGGTAGGTTTCCTCCTGCGGACTCGGGTGCTGCACGTGACCCAGGTCAGAGCACTGGATCCCCCTGGCCACAGTGTTTGGGGATGAACATGTGACTCCAGTCTAAGCAGATTATGTCTCAAGGCTTATACAGAAACTGTCAGGATTGGAATGGAAGGTCTGGAGATGCAGGGGCCATCTTGCCACTCTGAGGGGAATTTCTACTTTTATAGATGAAAAGATGGAAAGAGAGAAACCAAGCCTTGGCAATATTATTTGAGCTGCAGATTGGGGCAAACCTAAAGCCAGATGGATCTACCCCCTGTATGTTTCAGTTTAAATGGGGGGGGGAGAGGGGAATCCACTTTTCATCTTAAGCCAGTTTGAATGGAGTTTGCTGTCACTTGTAACCATGAGTTCTAACTGAAATTGTTATTACGGCAAAGCATCTTACAGTAGTGTTTTTGATGATCAGATTAAATATTCTATAATCAAATAATTCTATAATTGCCTTGAAAGAAATATATATCAAAAACGCCTATTTGGCAGGAACACTTTGGAGTTAAATCTTAGTTTCGGTAGGAAGAAGCTCTTACGGGCTGTTCTTAGGAAAAGGTCAACTGACAATAAAACCTATTGTCTGTTGACTACCTATGAGGTGCTGGGCATTGAGCTTTTAATACATTATTCCTAATTTTCACAACAAACCCAGAGTGGGTAATATCTTCAGTTAGAGATGAGGAAATGAGGGTTCAGAGAGGTGAAATAACTCGTTTAGGGTCACACAGGAGGAAATGGTAGAACTTGGACTCCAAGGCCTTCTGCCAATATCACCAGCCTACCTGGGAGGCTCCAAGGTCAGGGGAAATTTTTCCAAGCCTTCCTATCTCGTCCCGGCAGACCACAGCGTAACTAGAATTCACCATTACTAGTTTCCCCTGCTCAGACACCGACATGAACGTTCCTAATCTCTTCTTCACCGACTTTTCTGGTTTCTTTTTGAAAATGTGCCTTAATCATCCAAGAAACCCTTCTCATGAGTGAACGAAGACGGCTCATCTGCCCAAAGATGCCCTCAGCATTCCCCAGAGCCAGATGTCACTCTCCAAGGTCATGTTTCTGGTCCTGAAGGGCATGGCTCCAAATGGATTTGAACGTGGACACCTTCCCCTGTACACTCCATCATGTCTGGAAGATTCAGGCAGATTCATGCACATTCCACTTCGGGGGCATGTCATTCTTTACTTCCACGCCCGTCCCTGGGTTACTGCCCCTTGGTCAGCCACTTCTTTCTATGCTTTCAGGCTGCCTCTTGTTGGCCTCTTGCTGCAAGTCTGCAGGCAGCTTGGCTGGAACTTAGGGGATCTTGGTAGGGCCCAGAGCTTGGGGGGGCAACGGGTATCTGACGAATCTTTCACTGCAGGTGGTGGGACCGTTACTTTTATGCTTCACGTTCCCCTTTCCTAAATTGGTTGCAGTTATCAAGAAAAATTATTCTGAAAGACACTTGTGATATAGCTGTTAAATTAAAAACAGGGGCCAAATAATTTCCTGAACTTAGAATCTCTTTTAACTTTTCCCCAGAAGGGTCCTGTAGCCACAACCAAGAAAGGCACGCTTCTTTGGACTTGTTAGCAGAACAGACATTTGAGGCTTAATCTCAAGTGCCCAAGGCACTCAGGTTTCAGGAGCATTTGGATAATCTAGCCATTGCCCCCGCCCCAAGCCATTCCCCTGCCAAGGGCTTCCGAAAGAATGTGGGAAGGAAACAGGGTGAGGACTCCCTAGCCTTCTGTGTATTTTCATGGCTTTTGTTCTATCAGTGCACAAGAGGGGTTCCGTTGGCATTCTGAGTGGGAAAGTTCTTGGTTGGAAGGACTGAAGTTGTTGGCATACTGTAAGGTATTAGTTATTTGTAATAACCCAAAGCAAATAAGAAATGCTCCCATCCTGGGGTGCCTGGGTGGCTCAGTCGGTAAGCGTCTGCCTTCAGCTCAGGTCATGATCCCAGGGTCCTGGGATCGAGCCCCGCATCGGGCTCCCTGCTCCGCGGGAAGCCTGCTTCTCCCTCTCCCACTCCCCCTGCTTGTGTTCCCTCTCTCACTGTGTCTCTTTCTGTCAAATAAATAAATAAAATCTTAAAAAAAAAAAAAAAGAAATGCTCCCATCCATTTTCAAACACTCCGGGGAAGGGGGTAGGTTGGGGAGGGGGATGGACAGCCCCTGGTTAGTAAACCATAGGGAGGTGGTAGTGCCTGGGGCTGGAGGTAGAAAGCAAACTCCCCAACCTCCTCTGCATCCTCCAAAAGCCAGACTCAGGGCTCCTGGGAGACAGCCTCCAACCCGTCAAGGGTCTCTCCCAAGATTACGGAATTCTTGTATACAAGCTTCCAGCAAAATGCTGAGCCTAAATGGGCACTCCATAAATAGTTGCTAATTAATTGCCATGTCTTGCTCATTATCATATGCTCATTGAGACTGGAGATTTCACATCCTCTATGTTGTGAAAAGCCCCGGGCGGACTTAATATAATGCCATGCTACTGATAAGCACTCAGGAAATATTAATTACTATTGATGAAAGTGGTGACTACTTTAATTTCGATGCAAACAACCAAAAAGGGCTAAATACCCTTGGCTCTTTGCCTCTGTTGCATTTGGAGAGACTGATTAATCCGGTCTTCCATCTCTGGCACCTAAAACTCCGGGGCATTCAGGTCACCGAGCAGTTGTGTGGGTGGGTGAGAGACTTTCTTGGGCTTTAGCCAGAGAGCCAGGCTATTGGTAGAAGAGCTAGACTTTTAAGATATGGAACACTTCATACATATGCCAAAATAGGAGACAGGAACCAGGCCAGGTCAGGCCAGGTGAAAAAAAATGAGGCATCCAGAGAGGCCAGGAGGCCAGGAGGGGAGGTATAGGCAGGGGCCATGGGAAGCCGGGAGTTACTTGGAGAGAGCCGAGGGCTGGGGTAAGGTTGGAGTTGGTGTGGTATACTCCTTCCCAGGCCCCCACTCTCTGAAGCCCCAGTTTCACCTGAAAATGCAATCTCTATCTTGCTGAGTGCAGGCAAGATCAAATCTGTAAGGGACAGCCAGGATCCAACTTTCCATCATTCTTTGTAAATCAGACCGGAGATTCTTACTCCTTGCCAATGGGTAAGTCGTAAGGGTTTCATTTCCCAGGATGATCATCGCGGGGTGTGGGGCATAACATCTTGCTCCGGGATTTCTATAACGAAGCATGAGAAAAGTCCAAGGCGGGACTAAAGCTTTATAGAGAATTAATACCACTGCAAGTTTTAAAACAAAAAATAAACTCTGATTGTCATGAGCAGTCACGGGTTTACCAATGCAAAGTGGCCTTTCTGCTGAAAAGCAGGGTGACCTGGGTTCATTGGCACATTCGAAGATTATACTCTCATTTTGTTCAACTTTGAGACCAGAGGCAATAACATTTGCAAATGGCTTAGACCCGCCTGGTCTGACTTTCCTCAAATGTCCTGCCAGATTAAATCCATTTTGTTCTAAAGAAAAAGTAGAGGGGGTGGAGGATTGTGTTTTGAGTACAAGGTGCACCTAAAACCCAGTCCCCTCCCCTTCAATTCCACCCCTGCCCCCCCCACCCCCGTCCCGGTCCAAATGGCAATACCTTTTTAATTAGCCAGGAGTGTTAAATAACCAAAGAAAGCTATATTTTCTTCTTCCTTCCCAGGTGATCGGGATTTGGATCAGTAAATTTTGGCCGATCTTCTTTCCTGGAGCTAGAGTGACAAGGACCCAAGACAGGATATGTACATTGATTTTAATGACTTTGCTAGAGGTCACTTTGGGGAAAAAGTTTCAAAGACAATCCACACAGCAGTCAAAGACAACACTGATGTTCTGGGTGATGCCCTAGGCACATACCTTCATATGCAAATGCGTGAAACATATGAATTCTTAGGAAATGTCATGTCAAGGCAAGCTTGTCACTACAGAGTAGAAAGAGGGGACCTACCCGAGACGACAGTCCCTCTTCACTGACCCCTTAAATCAGGGGCTCCTCTTTTAAGGTCTCCTCCTGGGAGTGTCCTCTAAGGTGTGTGAAATAATAGGAAGATTGCTCGCCTATTTGTAGAAAAAGCAAAATGCATAATGTTTTTCATTCAGTTTGTATTTTTTTACCTGGATCACAGACCACTCTAGACTTAGGTTTTTATCATTATTTCCTTTTGACTTGGTTTTGAGTCTTGGCTCTGCAACTTAACAGTTATGAGACCTTGGGAAACTTTTTCACAAACTCGGATTCTCCGTTTGCTCATTTATAAATCGGGAGTGTTAATACGGACCTCCCTGGGTTGGGGGGAGCATAAAGGATAATGTGCTTGAAGCACCCAGCAAAGGGGCCCAACACATAGCAGAGGCTCACAGTTGGCCTCGAGATTCTTCTTTCTCTCCCGGCCACAACTTCTTACAGAAGTAGAGCTACAGAAGGCGAGGCAGCATGGGGACACATGGGAAGGAGACGCTCCCAGAACCCTGTGCTGACCACAGAGGTCCTTCTCAGAAGCTCATCGTAAAGAGCTGCTGTGTGGATGGGGACCCTGGAGAGAACAGGTTTTCTACTGTGTCACCGACCCCTGGAGTGTGCCTAATGCCAAAGGAACAGGAAAAGAGCCAGGCCGGACAGGAATTGGGTTGAAGAGCAAACGAAGAAGAGAGCCAAGAAAATGACCTCCAGTAAGCCCCATGACATAGTGAACCGCAATATTGTAACTCACCACTTCCCCCTTGCCCTGCGTGGCCCCGCACCCCTGGGTTAAACACAGGGACTGTGTTTGCTCACAGCTGACTTGCTAGTGCTCCCAGGCGAGCCTGCACTTCATTGTAGGGGATTAATAACGATCGATGACTGATGAACTGAATGAATGACACTTTTAGCCTCCCGAGAACCCAAATTTGCATTTTCCCAGCCTCTGGGGGAAAGTGGGCATTTTGTAGGGCACCAAGTTCAAAGAATCTCTTTTTCAGAGGTACTGCCTTAGAAATCCTTTTAGCATTCCCTCTGCAGCCGCGGAGTAGGAGTGGAAGATCCAGAGAGAAGGTTTGCTGCAACAAAATGGTTTCTGCGAGCCTTTTGTGGTGAAATGGAAGAATCGTTTCTCTGAGGAATGAAATATGACCGGTAAACTTCCAGAATCTCAAAAAAACCCCACAAATCAACAAGAAGCCAACTCCTCTTCTCTCTTTGGCATTTGGCACATACTTTATCAGCGAATGTCCCCATGCAAGCCTTTCCTTTAGACTTTACCTTTTAATTCTGTTGCTGGAAGTACTGAATCATTTTGAGCCATGGTCTCAGACTACGGTTCAGCGGCTCCATCTTTGCCAACAAAGAACCTTGATTCTTTTTTTCTTAGACTCATCAAAAATATGAATGAAACCATAGCATTATCTGCCCAGGGAATCTGCTAGAATATAGGACTGTTGCCACTGGTTATCTTTTAAGCGATTGCCCAGCTTTCAAATCCTTCTTTTTGATGGTACATTTATACCTTAAGGGATAATTGGACAGGCAGTTGTCAATTTTTTGAAAAACTGAAGCTCACAAATAGGCTTACCAAAAAAAATGACTTACTCGTAAGACCATGTGCTGAAGCCCCCCTCCCCGGGGGCAATAGTCTTCTGGTGTCCTCAATCGATGGGCAGAACGGGCCCAACAGACATGTATTTTGGGAGGCTGAGGAGCTTTCCAGGAAGGAACTCAGCCTGGGTCACTGCTGGAAACTGGGCTAGTGACCCCACAAAACTCCTTCTGCAAAAGCCGGGAGCTTCCTGGAAAGAGACTCATCCAAAGGGAAGAAACTGAGCATGAAGATGTTCTGAATGCTGTGGGGGCGGGGGAGCCGTCCCTCTCTCCTGTTCTTGGCCTGGCTTACTACACACACCCATGTCTAGAGAAAGAGAAGACTATAAGTAAAAACATGGAAAGATCTGTTTTAATAGACTCTATAAAATATGGGAGCTGAAGCAATAGTGCTTTGAGACTCCTTCCCTATGGCACCACTTACTGGTCCATAGCTTGGGAAACGTGAGAACTGAGGACATCGAGGGCATCACCTGTAGGGGACAGTTATCCATACCCTGGGGACCTGCGGGAGGAGGCATGTGCCTAGAGGCACAGTGGCAGCCCCAGCATGAAGTGCTAGAGCTGGGGGGACACTGGCAGCATGAAGTACAGAGGAGAGTCTCCCTGAGCATGCCCAGGACTTCTCAGGCAGAATCACCACCAGGCGACATTCTTTTTTTTTTTTAATTTTTTATTGTTATGTTAATCACCATACATTACATCATTAGTTTTTGATGTAGTGTTCCATGATTCATTGTTTGTGCATAACACCCAGTGCTCCATGCAGAACGTGCCCTCTTTAATACCCATCACCGGGCTAACCCATCCCCCTACCCTCCTCCCCTACCAGGTGACATTCTTGTGACTTGGAGAATTGGATGATTACTCTTCATAGGACCTCTTCCAAACATTGGTGAGACCTAGAAAAACTTGGGTTTTATCCTGTATTTGGTAATCATCTCATATCTTAAAATAATATTTTAAGTAGTGGTTAGGTTTCCAAACGAGGAAGGAAGGAAGGAAGGGAGGAAGGAAGGAAAAGGTGGCCAATTTCTCCCATTATAAACTATAATTGGCTAAACACTATACATTTGTTATTTGAAAAAGAGTAGAACTCTTTTTGTTTTGAAACTCATAAAATATATTTAAACATAGCAAAGTGTTTTGCGAACAGATAACTGGCCCGCGGTGCCTTCCCACAATCAGCCAAGCCGTTCACCCTGATTCTCGTACTTCCTTAGGGCTCAGAACTCAGAACTTACTTAGGGCTATGTCCAGTACTTCATCCCCGAACTATACTTTTGGAACCCTGGATAGGGGTGAACGGGACGAGAACGAGAAGTCCCAACACCAAGTAAGGAGGGGCAGAATGAGGAGGCAGGCCGAGAAGAACTAAGCAGCATCTACTCGCCATGTCTTGTCTTCCCTTTTCATTCCTTTTCTTTTATTTATGTATTTATGTATTTATTTATTTTTGGCTTCTTTTCTAACCAAATGTTCATAGAAGCTTTAATATTTTTTTAGAAGAAAGCATGGCAGAAAGCGTTATTTATTTCTTAATATCTTTTTAAAGACTTTATTTGAGAGAGACAGAGAAAGAGAGCATGAGCAGGGGTGAGGGGCAGAGGGACAAACAGACTCCTGCTGAGTGCGGAGCCCGAGGCCCTGTGGCACTCAGTCCCAGGTCCCTGGGATCATGACCTGAGCCGAAGTCAGACGCTACCCAGGCACCCCAACGATATTTATTTTTCAAAATATTTTTTTGAGCTATGATTGACACAAAAAGCTATACATATTTCATGTATGCAACTTGATGAGTTTTGAGATAAGCATACGTGTGTGCAACCATCCCCCCAATCTAGGCCATAAGCATCGAGGCTCAGAGAGGTTTAGCAAGTGGCAGAAGTCACACAGGTAGTAAGTATCAGCTCCAAAGCCCATACAACTAGGCACGGAAGTTGTGTGGGGCCAGCTGGTGAGAAGTCACAGGTCACCACGGAGATGGGAAAAGTCAGCGACTGCCCAGGTGGATTCATGCTAGTGATGAGGAAAAGAGGCAGACAGGGAATTCCCACAGAGCCCAGCCGTTTTGAGAGGGATGGAAGGAAGAAGCTGGGAGCTCGGAGAACTTACCACTGGACCGATGTGGAAAATGGTTAAGCTGAAGAATGAGTGGAGGAGCCGGGGTGAGGATAGAGGGCCAGAGGTGGGGAGCGTGGGAGCTTCTGCTGTGGTTGTTTTGGAGAGGCCAGTAGAGACAAGCAAGTCAGGCTGAGTCCCCGTTGACATGGGAAGGACATGTGTGGAACGTGTGGCCCTAAAACTAAGCCTTGCCTCTACTAATAATCTTGATCAAAGTTTTCACTTTTCTTCCTTAGGGAGTTACCTACTGAGGGGCGCCTGGGGGCTCCGTCGTTGAACGTCTGCCTTCGGCTCAGGTCAAGATCTCAGGGTCCTGGGATCGAGCCCCGCATCGGGCTCCCTGCTCAGCGGGAAGCCTGCTTCTCCCTCTTTCTCTGCTGCTCCCCTTGCTCGTGCGCTCTCTCTCTCTCTGTCAAATAAATAAATAAAATCTTTAAAAAATTACCTACTGAATGTTTAAAAGCTTGGAGTCTGCAGGCCAATAACAATTTCTGTAATTGTTCTTAAAAGATGAATTTCTAGAGGGTTTTAGTTTTTATTTTATACGGAGAAGATTCTTTTTCTTTTTTCCTTTACAAAGTATCCAACACTGGAAACCACCGTATTAGAGACTACTCATTCTAGGAATTCCCTGCAGGGTCCTAAGTACCTGGAGCTGGTGTTAAAAGGATCATTAAGAGCAGAGCATCTCTTCATTCCCTGGAGTTCCTGGTAATTTCTGTTTAAAGACCTAGACTCTAGCAGAGTTAATATTTACAGTGAGGTAATATATTATTTACATGGACCCCAGACACCGAAACTTCTATAAATTCACACATAGTTAACCTCCATCTGCTCCTTCCTTTCTTTACTTATTAAGTCAATTCAAGACCTAGACTATTATCAGATATAAGGTTCTTTCAATAATTTCACCCACAAGCCCTTTAAAATGAAAATTAAAAAAAAAATGAAGGATTTGCCAAATTCTCATTTAACATGAGGAAGCTTTACGGATTTCAGAAGACGTGGTTCTGGGTAAAGTAAATGCTAAAAATGGGAAAGACAAATAAATTATTATCATTTGTCTTTTGGAGTTATGTACAAATTGCGGAGCAGGAAAGAGATTCTAAAGGGTGAAGCTTCCTCCAGAATATAACAAGCTTTTCCTAAGGATTTTCCGGGATAAAGGAGGGTGTATAGGAACGAAGCTAATCTCAAAGGCAAATGATAGTGCTTAACTATATGTGCATTCATTAATATCAATTGACAAACTACAAATTGCACAAGAATTCTTTTTTTTATTAATAGTTTTCAAGTTTATTTTTTAACTTATGCACAAGCGTTCTTAAGCAAGGGTTTTCAACCAAGTCATAAAATTCTGCACCTGTTGTTTCTTTTTTGCATCCTCAGCTCAGTGAGTCCAAGTCCGGCTGCCCGAGTGTCCAGGTGTTTGGGTGTCTCAAGATTTCACCCTTCGCTTAATCCAGCTCAGGCTACATGATCTGCTTACCTTTCAGGGGCTGGAACTAAGAGAATCTCCTGACTTAATTACATAGCAATGAGTAACTGAAAGCAGGTGGCGATTAGGAGGGCCTCTTGGGATCAAAGCAGTACACGGATTTAAAAGCTGATCCACACAAGAAATTGTAGGCAAATGTTTGTGGAGTCATTATTCACGAGAGCCAAAAAATGTTAACTAAAATGTCCATCAACTGATGAATGCATAAATAAAATGTGGTATGTCTATACAAGGAAATATTATTCAGCAATAAAAACAGATGAAAAACTGATACATGTTACAACGTGGATAAATTCAAATCACCAACATCAGGAACTAAAGGGGATATCACTATGGATCCCACTAATATTGAAGGAATAATAGGGACTATTATGAACAACTTTAAGCTAACAAATTACTAACAATTTAAATGAAGTTGGACAAACTCTCTGAATAACTTATAAAAACTGATACAGGATGAAACAGGAAACTTAAATAACCTGATATCTATTAAAGAAATTTAAATCGTTATCAAAAACCTCAGGAAGAAAATTCCAGGCTCATATTATTTCACTAGTGAATTCTATCAAATATTTAAGAAAAAAATAATTTTTTTTTGAAAACAGAGTAGGGGGAAACACTTCTATCTCATTTTATGAGACTAGCAGAGCCCTAATACCAAAACTTTTTAAAAAGATTTTATTTATTTATCTGACAGAGAGAGACACAGCGAGAGAGGGAACACAGGCAGGGGGAGTGGCAGGCAGAGGGAGAAGCAGGCTTCCCGCGGAGCAGGGAGCCCAATGCGGGGCTCGATTCCAGGACCCTGGGAACACGACCTGAGCCAAAGGCAGACGCTTAATGACTGAGCCACCCAGGCGCCCCCCTAATACCAAAACTTGGCCGAACATTACAAAAAAAGAAAAGAAAGAAAATTAGAGGCCAATATCCCTCTTGATTATAGACATAAGAGTCCTTAACAAAATATTAGCTAACCAAATTCAGCAATATATAAAAATGATAAATATCATGACCAAATACATTTACCCCAGGAGTGCAAAGTTGGTCTAAGATTCATAAAAATCAACCTGTGTAGGGGAGCCTGGGTGGGTCAGTCAGTTAAAGTTAAGCATCTGCCTCTTGATTTCCGTCCAGGTCATGATTTCAGGATTATGAGATGGAGCCTGCTGTGGGGCTCTGTGCTGGGTCTGGGGCCTGCTTATGATTCTTTCTCTCCCTCTGTGTCTCCCCGCTCAAGCTCTCTCTCTCTAAAATAAATAAATCTTAAAAAAAATCAATCTGTGTAGTTTATCATATTTATGGAATAGAAGAGAGACACCATGTAATTATTTCAATAGATGCAGAAAAAGTATTTGGAGAAAATTCCATACTCATTTGTGAGAAAACAAAGAAACGAAAAGGAAAAAAGAAACTATCAACCAAATAGGAGAGAAGGGAAATCTCTCCACCCGATAAAGAATATTTACAAAAAACCCTGGAGCTAACATCACACTTAATGGTGAAGTATTCAATATTTTCCTTCTAAGATCAGGAACAAATGATGTCCAGCCTCTCCATTTCTATTCTATTCATGGTCTTAGTTCTTACAATAAGGCAAGAAAAAGAAATAAAAGGCATGAAGATCAAAAAGAGAACTAAAATTGCTTCTGTTGGGGCGCCTGGGTGGCTCAGTCGCTAAGCGTCTGCCTTCGGCTCAGGTCATGATCCCGGGGTCCTGGGATCCAGCCCCGCATCGGGCTCCCTGCTCCGCGGGAAGCCTGCTTCTCCCTCTCCCACTCCCCCTGCTTGTGTTACCTCTCTCTCTCTCTCTGTCAAATAAGTAAATAAAATCTTTTTTTTTTAAGATTTTTTAATTTATTTGACAGAGAGAGACAGTGACAGCAGGAACACAAGCAGGGGGAGTGGGAGAGGGAGAAGCAGGCTTGCCGCCGAGCAGGGAGCCCGATGCGGGACTCGATCCGAGGACCCTGGGATCATGACCTGAGCCGAAGGCAGACGCTTAACAACTGAGCCACCCAGGCGCCCCATAAGTAAATAAAATCTTAAAAACAAATGTCATGTATTTCAGATAAATTAAAATGGAAAGTAATTTTTTATATTTAACCAGATAGTAACCCTTTTTTCATTCCTTCCTGAATTCCCACGTGATAAAATTTTCTGTTGCCTGAGGAACTTACATTAGAATTTCTTATAGTGGGGCGCCTGGGTGGCTCAGTTGGTTAAGCATCTGCCTTTGGCTCTGTCATGATCCCAGGGTCCAGGAATCGAGCCCTGCATCGGGCTCTCTGCTCAGCAGGAAGCCTGCTTCTCCCTCTCCTGCTTGCCCTGCTTGTGCTCTGTCTCTCTCAAATAAATAAATAAACTCTTAAAAAAAAAAAAAAAGAATTTCTTATAGTACATGTCCCTGGCAATGATTTCCCTTAGTCTTCTTTTATCCGAAGATGTCTTTGTTTTGCTTTCATTTTATTTATTTATTTATTTATTTATTTGAGAGAGAGCATGCACATTTTGCTTTCATTCTTAAGTGACATATTCATCAGATACAGAATTCTGTTTTTTTTCGGCACTTTAAACATGTTGTTCCACTGACTTCTGACCTCTCATTGTTTCTGATGAACAGTCAGTGATAACTCGAACAATTGTTTCCCCCGTGTCATTTTTCTCAGTTGGCTTTCAAGGTTTTCTCTTTACTTTTGATTTTCAGCATTTGACGATGTTATCCATACATGTGGCTTTCTCCATATTTGCTCTGCTTGGGTTTTGTTGATTTTCTTGAATCTGGAAATTCATGCTTTTCACCAATTTTCAGTCATTATTTCTTCAAATTGTGCTTGGCCCCATTTTCCTTCTCTTCTTGTGGGACTCTAATTACATATATGTGTAACCTTTTGATATTGTTCCATAGGTATCTGAGGTTCTGTTCATTTTTTTCAACCATTTTTCTCCCTTTTCTTTTTTTCTCTTTTCTTTTCTTGAGAATTTGCCCCAAGGCAATGAGTAAATGTGGAATGGTTACACTGAAGAAAGAACTGCTGATTAACTTCTATTGGTTACTGGACATGTTCCTCTGTCATCTGCATTCTGCTATTAAGTCCATCCAATGGATTTTCGTTTGTTTGTTTCTTTCTTTCAAATATTACACTTTTGTTTCCTGTGGTACATTTTCCTTCTTCTTTTGTTTCAGATATCATAATTTTTTTAGAATTTCTGCTTGATTCCTGTCATGGCTATTTTTTTGTGTTAACTTGACTGGGTCACAGTGCCCATATATTTGTTCAAACATTATTCTTGATGTTTCTGTGAGAGTGTATTGTGATGAGATTTACATTTGAATCAATGCACTTTGAGTAAAGCAGATTGCCCTGGATAATGTGGGTGGATCTCATCCAATTAATTGAAGGCCTGAAGAGAACAAAAGGTTGACCTTCCCTTAGCAAGAGGGAATTCTGCCGCAGATAGCGTTCAGACATCATCTGCAATGTTGGTCTCTTCTTAGATCTATGGCAGACTGACTGTGGACTTTATCCTGTAACATCAGTTCATCCCTGGGTCTCTAGCCTGCATGTTCACCCTGCTGATTTGGGACTTGCTAACTTCCATAATCTCATTAGCCAATTCCTTACAATAAATCTCTCTCTCTGTGTATGTATATGTATATGTATATGTATATGTATATGTATATGTTTACATACACATCTTATCAGTTCTGCTTCTCAGGAGATTCTGACTAATTCAGTTTCTGTTTCTCTTCTGAAACTTTCTATCTTTCCATTCTTTGTGAATGTATTCTCCTTTAGTCTGTGAGCATAGTTGTTATATCTACTTTAAAATCCTTATGTGCCAATTTCAGTATCTTGGTTATCTCAAGGTGGATTTTTTTTATCTTGAAAACGGGTCAAATGTTCTTGTATTTTTGATATGTTGAATAATATTGGACTGTATCTTGGACATTGTGCATGTTGTATTGTGAAGACTCTGGATTC